AACCGCGACCACTTGTGGGTGATAACCACGGCCATAAATTCTCCAAGTCCCTGACCCTTGAACGTGAGTAAGCTCTGTATCAAACACATGTAAAAAATAAACAGTTCAGGGGAAAATGGAATGAATACACAATAAAAATTTCCCACAGACTTTTGGAAGCCCCCCTCCTTTGCAGGTCTCAGCCAGCTCCCTCTAACACAGCGGTTCTCAACCTGTGGGTCACGACCCCTTTGGGAGTCGAATGACCCTTTCACAGGAGTCGCCCAATACATCACAGTAGCAAAATGTCAGTTATGAAGTGGCAACAAAAATAATGTTATGGTTGGGGGGGAGGGGTCACCACAACATGAGGAACATATGAAAGGGTCACGGCATGAGGACAGTCGAGAATCACTGCTCTAATAGAACACACTGCTGTCTCTCACAAAGCCACACAAACACCAACAAGTGGGCTAGTGGGATCAATAGGGCTCATAAGCAGCCTTGAGACAGGTCGGGCCACGGTTTGCCGCCACGTGAATAACGAAGAGGTTTCAGAGCATTCTGCATTTCTGAATTGTGGACGAGGGACTGGGGGGGGGGGTCACCACATGAGGAACTGTATGAAAGGGTCACAGCATGAGGACAGTCGAGAACCACTGCTCTAATAGAACACACTGCTGTCTCTCACAAAGCCACGCAAACACCAACAAGTGGGCTAGTGGGATCAATAGGGCTCATAAGCAGCCTTGAGGCAGGTCGGGCCACGGTTTGCCGCCACGTGAATAACGAAGAGGTTTCAGAGCATTCTGCATTTCTGAATTGTGGACGAGGGACTGGGGTCCTGTGTGTCGTGAAGAAAACTCTGCAGCCCCCGAGCGGAGGCAGGTCTGCCTGTGCACGGACACTGGCCATGCCCCCCACCTCCCCCGCCCGGGAGTGAAGAGAGCCCAGCCGAACAGCCAGCCAAGGCGGGACTGTAATAGACACCGGTGGAGGGAGAGGAAAGGTGGAGTCAACCTTCACGTGTCAAGCTCTCACTCGCAAACTTTTAGATTTTGCCCATAATTCTTTGCAATCACTTGGTCTCTGGCTAAGGAATGCCGTGGAAATGTTTGTGGGTATGGATCGACAGCGAGGATGAGTTCGCGTTTGTAAACTGCCTACATTGATGGGAGATGACCAAAAGGACATGCACAATGAGGGGCTGAGTGAGCACACACGGGGAATTTATTTCTGAAGCTCTGTGAGGCTCATCTGTCCAGGAAGGGCTGTGGGGGAGGCAGAGCGGTTGGAGCCAGTCTTTGAGGAGCCCCTCCCATATCAAAGGACCGGAGGCCGGGCACCCAAGAAACACCCTAGCCTGGACTGCTTCGCTCATCTGTCTCTGGGTGCTGCATCTGCTACAAGACAAAGGGCTTCTTCCTCCGTCAACCTCTGTGGGAGCCGTGGCCCTTCCTCCCTCCCCTATTCCCTTTCTAAAAACAAACGGTCTCTCTCTATATTTATATAAATATATTTTAAGATAGCAAGCAGGGAGAACAGTAGGGTGGGGGTGGGGATTCAGTCTTTGCCCCCGACATTAAATAGCCCTTGTGATAAATGGTCTGCCAGGTAATCAACGGAGAAACCAAACTGCCTGCCACGGAGTCAATTCTGAATCACACAACAGAGTACAATTGCCCCCTTGGAGTTCTAAGGCTGGAAATCTTTACAGGATCAGAAAGCCTCATCTTTCTCCTGCTGAGTGACTGGTGGGTTTGAACAGCTGACCTTATAGTTAGTTAGTTAGCAGCTCGATTTGTAGCCCACTTACACCACCAGGCTTCCTGGTTAAAAAGTCGAACTTTAATTATGGGTCAGAAATGCAAATTCAATATACTGGTAGTAACTTTCCCTCTGTATTTTACAGATCTGGTAATGACTGGTTTTTTCCCCCCCAATGAACATGTAATGATGTTACAGTATTTTAATGTGGCATTGTAATTATGGGCACAACTGGAAATCATATTTGTCAATCCATGTAATGTGCTATATGAAGTGTTGGCTATTAGCTCTCTGAACAACTCCCTGGGAACATCCCCAGTGAGGAGACTCCTCTCACACTGAGACCAACAGGCTTGCCTTTGTGTACTGTCCTTCCAACCTCCTAAGTGTATGGTGTGGCACTCCGCACGGAAGAGAGGGCAGCGAACCAGCAAGGGTGGGCTAGCCCCAGAAGCTCACCTACCATTGGAGAGACAGACACCAGGAGGTGCAGTAAGTATATGGACTATCACGTACACAATCCCGCAGTAACAACAGCAAACATCTGCCAGCGGAACAGAGAGGCATGCAAGCTGAACAGGTATGGAAAAGAGAAGAGAACTACGCCAAGGTGTGTACACAGGTTTGGCACAGGATATTTCTACAGATATGTCTGCATATACAGGTGTATTTGCATATATGCGCTGCAAGTATATCCATGCACATAGTTCAGCATACAGTGCAGGGGGGGGGGCGCGGCCCAACACCTTGAGAGAATGAGACACTGATCGTGGGGTTGAGAAGCAGAGTCTTGGACATCAATTGTCATGAGCTGGCATCAAGTGGAGATCAAGTGGCATAACACAGTCCACAAGAACAACATTCTAGTTCCTACAGCTACTGGGACTTTAAGGGCTTATGGGGGACCAGCGAGGATACAGTCACTGGGCTTTTCCCAGATGGAGCAAAGAGGAGTGAAGAAAAACACACACTCAAGGAAACAACGCTGAGAACCACAGCTTCCACGTCGGAGACCAGAAGACCCAGGTGATGCAGGTGACCAGTACCCTGCAAGGGCTCAGAACAGCAAGTCCTGGACAGAGCGTAGCACAAAAGTCAGAACCCTCCCAACTCGGTGTCCTGTCCCGATAGGTCCTGACTGAGCCCACACGCACCCTCCCGTCGGGAACGGAACCACCCCTCAGAAGACCTTGTGGCCTAGAGACAGACCTATAAAGGGAGCAAAAAGTCTTGTGAGCGTCCATAGGAGACCGAAAGAGCAGTACTCTGACGGCAGTAAGGTACAGGGGAAAATGGAGATGGCGGGGTGGGGTGGGAGGTGGAGGAGGGGGCGGAGAGGGCTATTGCACTGAGGGAATTGCAACAACTGTCAGGAAACAACATGAGTGGAAGTCCTTGAACGGAACCCACAATTTAAAAAAAAATGTTTAAGAAAGAAATGGATCAAATTACTTTTTGTTACACCCACTCTTTTTATAAAAGGGTAATTGCACATTTAATGATTTAAGAGTGGCAGTACTCCATCCTGGACCGGGGCTCCATAGCTGCACGGCTCCCTGACAGCCTCAGGAACCCCATAGCAGGGGGCCAGGAGTCAGCGGGATCAACTCCACGGCAGCGGGCAGTTATCATTAATATTTGTAAATGATGGCATATTGATGAAAATAATATAAAATATCCTGAACAAAGAGCAATTAGAATAATGACCATTAGTATAGCAATGATATGGGAAATTACTTTATGTTACTTAGGTCCATGAGGGAAAAGATGAGACTAAATGAGGAAGAACATCTAAATGCGTGAGACTATGTATGGAAAATTACTGCCGAAGAATCTCAGTAGTCCTGCTGCCTCCCGCCGAGGAAAAGAGCCCTCCGCACACAGGCTTATCCCCGCCTTCAAGGCCCTCCCAGCTCAGGGCAGCCCTAGGGACAGAGGAGAACAGCTCCTCGTTCTCCAAAATGCAGACCTTCTGGAAGTAGGCCTCTTCATCTGGCTCCAGCAGAGTGCCTGTGGGTTCGAAGCACAGAACTGATGGTGAGCAGCTCAGTGCTCATTGACTTACTGGGCCACCAGGGCACCTTAAGGCCCTCAGGGTGGGACACCCCACCGCACCTCAGAACACCAAGATGGTAACAAGAGGACAACCCGCATACAAAGACAAGCACAAGTCTGTGTTTTCTGTAAATAGGCCCCCTAATTTCTAAGGGAGATGTCATTTCTGAGACTTGGCCTCTGAAAACGTCCTGGGAATCTCAATACTTTGATGTTTACACCTCTTTTCCTACTGTAATTCTTGAAATTAGACACAATACAAAAATCCTAGGTGGACCAAGCACCTGTTGATTTTTTAAAATGAGGGCACTATTGTCAAAGTGACCCTAAACGGTCAGAGAAGAACATCTAAGGCCTGAACCTAGAAACTTAGCAGCATGTATGGCTTCCCCATTGCTGTAATCAGGCATCCTTGGAGTCTATAAAGTGAAAGCCCATGGAAACTGAACTTCAGCATGTATAAAGGTGGACACTGCATCAAAACATTTTTATTTCTCTCCCTATTAGAACTGGTGATTCTAATAACTTGACAAACGAAGATTCTTTGAACCGTATACTATACATCTCTCTTTTTAAGTGAAGAAACACCTCCTAAAAATAAGAATTCTACGTGTACTAGTGCCTCTACAGCCCACAAAGCAAAAGATATCTGTTGAATAATTCCATAAAAGGAGTGTCATAGGAATTCAGAGTGGCAATAATGAGACCAGAAAACTTCAGTAGGACCTGAACCTAGTTTCACTTTATTTTTTGCCGTCACAAAAGTCTTGCAATTAAAAAACAACAAAAAGCTTCTATTAAAAAAAATGACAAACCCATGACACTTGTACTATCATTGCCCCTCACCATGCCCACATAGTAGACCTTGCAACTCTTCATGCCAACTTTGGCTTCAGAGGGCAACTGCACAGAGAGCAGCCATTAGCCATGAGCCAATGTAGACATAGGACTCACAATCTATTTGCCAATCCTAGCTTAGCTCTCTTACTTGACATTCACAATGCTGTAGTTTATGGCTTCAAACAGATCCCAACATCCTTTACTTATGGATATTGTTTGGTATTGCTAGGGTATGGGATGGAAGGAAATGGGATGGGATGAGAAGGAAATTCACCTGTACCAAGTCATCTCCATTTCTTCACCTTCCCCATTACTGGAGAACACACAGGCAGGAGGTGACCATTCACTTAATCACTGACCTTATGCAGGGCAGGAGCCAAGACGGGCACCAAGAATCCATTGTAAATGTAATTGACAAGCTGATTGCGAATCAAAGGATGAGCCACCTGAGAGAGACATGGGTAGATCATGAAAGAGGGGAACCGTTCAATCTTTAGGTCTTCTCGAAGTCGCGCGTCTGTAGCACTCTGAATTTAGAAAGGAAGCCCAAGCTTTGGCCAGAGAGTCAATGCTCGCAGAATAATTCAGACTTCAAACTGCCTGTCATTTTTACCCCAGATGGCTGGTTAGCATGCTTCTCTTTGCTTGGCTAAAATTAGCAGAAGTTTGACTTCCACACTTTTACACACTGGTCGTTTTAAAGTTTCCACTTGATAAAAGAAACAATCGGACTGTGTCTGTTCTTGGCTCATTGCCACCCTTTAGGAAGATCAGAACTGCCCAGTAGGATGTTCTTGACCGCGCCCACTTCTTGGAGCGGACTCCCTGGCTTTTCCTCCTGTGGGGCCACTGGTGGGCTTGCCGACCTTCAGTTGGTGGCCAAGTGCTCCACCATGCCAGCACCAGGGAACTCCGGAACATGTAAAAGGATTCATAAATTTAAATTAATAAACTGGAGATTATCATTTTGCCCAAAAGTTTATCTAGCTTCCATCTCAATTGGTGGCTAATGGTTTACAATGTATAGATGTAAAACTACCAAAAGAAACAATAAAATGTATTAGCCAGCAAAAAGAATGTTCCCATGTTGAAGAGACACCTTCCAGGTGTCATTTATTTAGGGGGGGAAGCACCGAGGCAAGCGTTTCATAAGGAAGAGAAACTGCTCGGAAACAAGAAACATTATTAGGGTTGCAACACTTCCTACAAGTCATTTTTCAAAATATAATTGGCATGGGTAACCCTTTAATACCTTTTGTAAATCATGCCCCCAAACCAATAATAATAATAATATGTGGATTCAGTTTTAAAATACAGTCTGAAATACACAATTTCCCTGCTGTTACTTGTGCCCATTTGCTCTGCTTCCCTTTCTTAACTAAATAAGGAAAGTCAAACAATAAAGTAAAAAGCAATTTCTAGGGAAAAGAGACTAGCTCTTTAAATTACTGATAATCTCTTTCTGTGTGTACATTTGGAGAGGAACTAATAGTAGTTCCAGCTTTTTTTATTTCTGCACACTTCTGCAAGAAAATGTTGATGGATTGTAATATTAAAAAAATAACTTAAAATGTAATTCATTTATCTTATATATAAATAAAACTTCCTTTGACTTAGCAATAAAAATGAGATGGGAGCTAAAGTAATTTACTTGCATTTTCTTCCAGAAGCTATTTCTTTATTTGGGATATAAAAAGATTACAATGAACATTTTTCACCCTGCGATCTCCATAAAGAAAACTCGATTTCATAATAAGACCAAAATTAAAGTAATATTTATGTTGCATAGAAATAAAACAATTTTTCGTGGAAACCTACTACACAGCCTTACTATATATAAAATTTTATTGAAAATGGTAACAAGAAATGTGAAGGTAGAAATCTAATCAAGAAGCCAAATATGAGCAGTTCAGCAGGAGTTCTGCCCCACCTCAACCCCCACCCCCACCCAAGTAGGCCAATTTCAAAGCAAATTTAATTTGTGTTGGTAAGAAGATGCTTAACTTCTTCTAAATTCAATTGGGATAACAGTATTCTTTATGTAGTATGCACCATTAAGCAAAATAAAGTGTTTTCCTTTGTAGACTACAAAGACCTTGAAATAAAAGTGGTATAAACTAGAGTACTTGGAAGACTAAAAATATCTACTTAATGAGTCACAGACATTGAACTTATTTTTGATAGTTAAGTGGATAATCAAAATAGAATTAACAAAAAATAGAATGAACAGTTTTTTATAAAAAACATAAAGACAATTCACTACTTTTCCTGTCCATTAAAACTTCCTAGAAACTTACAAACGGACATTCTCACTTTCCCAAGGGCATTCCGTCTTCTTAAAAGCCAGAACCAAACTCACGGCCGCCACCGAGTCGATGCCGACTCACCGTGACCCTACAGGACAGGGCAGAACTACCCTTGTGGGTTTCTGAGACTGTAAGGGGAGGAGAAAGCCGAAATAGTCCATTAAGGTTGTTTCAAAGGAAGGCTTAGTCTAGTGAATCATCTGCAATGCGTATGTTTCCGGTGCCTCCTAACCAACTCTGAGCTCTGGTACCTGTATAACTGCGTTACAAAACTCCAGGGAGTTCAGGAACTGGACGAGAGGCGGGAGGAGGAGCCAGTCGTCTTTCAGCAGGCAGTGCCATTCCTCGCCTTTTTCTTCGAGCTTTGTGGGCAGGGAGGAGTAGAGACCACTGAGTCCAGTTGCGAGCACCTGTATTCCGGAAAAGAAGACATCAACAGCATCATGGACTCCTTCCCAAAGTTCTTCACTTGCATCAAACAGCTCCCAGGGGACACGGATACAACTGGTCCCAAGACAGCACTGTAAGTAGCAAGGTATTAAAGATAGCAGTTGGCTAGGACGGATTCAACAGGTGCAGCAGTAAGGAAGGCCAATGCCTGCAGAGGAACAGCAGTGCCAAGGCATCAGGCAAATGCACGCATGGTTGACATGGACTGGCATCGCCTCATGTGCTAACCAGTATGCTGGACTGGTGCTGAGGGCATGAAGGGAACACACACACACACGAATAAATCATGATTCCTGCCCCTAAGGAGTTCAGGGAAGGGACAAACTCATGACCAATATTTTACAGTACAAGGCAATGAGTACAATACAGAAAGGGTACATATTCCCATCTACAGAAGGAAACCTGGCATGAGGCAGTCCAGACGTAAGGTCTCAGAGAAAGCAACCCTGGGAAGTTCCTTGGCGGTCACCGGAAAGGTCGTGATAATGCTTACAGTTGAAAAGAGCACAGCTAGTACCCCACTTGCTCTTCACTTCAGTAAAAGGAGAAAGAACTGGAAGGGTGGGATCAGTCCGGTAAGGATGGAAATAGTTCAGACACAGCTCACAGAAGGAGGCTGGAAGGTGACCGAGCCATGGCATCTACCACTCTGGCATCAATACAAAGCTCATGAGCTTTCCTCCCTCACTCCACGCCCTGTTCCTAAAGTTCACCTGGGCTTGGTATTGGGTAGAGGCAGATAAATAAAAAAATGTCAAGTTATCCAAGTTGGTCATTTGAAAAATGGTGTTATCTTTATAATATAGAAATATAGAAAAGGAGTAAATTTATTGCTCATGCAGACCGCTTGTTTATCTTATAGAATATAAACTCAAGTGTGTTACACTGGGTTGACTAGAGAAACAAATGCAGTGATACTCATATATGTTTAAGAAAGAGCTTGATATCAAGAAGTAACTATGTATCAAGAAAATATCCCAAGCCATTCCAACTGTCCATACGTCCCTCTTCACACTCATGCAGCCACATGCAATGATGCAGAATGCAGGAAGATCACAGGCTGGTGGCTGCAAAACTGTGTGGACCCAAAGTCTGAGGAAACACGGCAGGGTTCCAGCAGCTCAGGTGGCCAGCCAGCAGGCAGGGCAAGGCCGAGAGAGAGGGCCGGTTCTCTGGGCCCTCCTAATGAGAAGGTCATGCCCACGAGGAGGCACTGTCAGGCTGTGACCTGTCTGACAGGTTGGATACCATGCCTACACTTTCATGTGTCTTCAAGTGGACATAAAATGATGTAACGACCACACCCAGGGAAACGGTGAGTGATGCCGGTCAACCGCACTCTTGAAATCTGGCAGAGGGAGAGAACAGAGGCCAGGACATTAGCTACAAAATGCAGGACTCTACTGCAACCCTGAGGTTACGAGACAACCCAAACAAACGGGTGTCTTCATTAACTAGTGAAGCTAGAACAGAAATACTTGAAGTGGGTGGCTTTAATAATCTCTCACACTTTAGGAGACTACAAGTACAAATTCAAGTCATTAGCTCTACAGAAAGGCTTTCTCTTTGGGTCAGCTCTTGGGGGAAGGTCCTTGTCCTCTTTCAACATCTGCAGACCTCCCATTCCTTAGAAATCTCCACGTGTCTTGGAGGTTCTTAGCACAGGGACCCTGGGTCCCAAACATACACTCTACTCCCAGCTCCTCTTTCTTGGTGGAAGTCAGGTTCTTCTGTCTCTGCTTACTTTTCTCTCTTTTTAGCTCATGTCGGATAAAAAGTGATGCAGACAATAGCCTTGGTGCAGCTGTAACCTGAGTAAGGGTGTTACATCCACGCTAATCCCATTACAAATGACTGGCTGATCACCTGAGATTACTTTATATGGGACCCTTACTTCGTTAGACAACAATGAACCACTGAGAATCATGGACCAGTCAAGCTGACACTTCCTCTCGAGTGACAATTCAATCCAAGACAGACAGAAACATTCAAGAAAATACACTGAAGAAGATCCCCCCAAGGGGGCCTGGCTTTAGGCTGAGATCACAAGATCAGCAGTCTGAAACTGCAGCTGCTCTGCAGAAGAAAGACAGGGCTTTCTCCTCCTGCCAACAGTCACAGTCTTGGAACCCCGTGGGGACACTTCTACACTGTCCTCCAGGGTCCCCATGAGTCGGCATCAACTCAATGGCAGTGAGAGTTAGGGCGGGCCCCAAAGAAACAGTGCAGTACTCATGGCTGCCACAGGCCAGTGACAGACCAGGAGGTAACTGTAATAATGTGCTAAAAAAAAAGTAAATGTGCTAAATGTCCATAGTACACAATAAAAAATATATGGGGCTGTGCTTACAGATGTCATGTCCAAGCTGTGAGCCAAAAAATAGAGATTAAGCAGAAGAAAAAAAGAAGACTATTCCAAACACAGTGACTGGACAGCATAAAAACTCAGAGGGGAAAGAAAATATACCTTCCAGGGGCTACGGGAGCTCAGTGTTGTTAGAGCCAAGAATGAAAGGGAGAAAGAGATTGGCCATCTAAGCAGGAACTGTGTCGTGCAGAATTGTGTTGTCCATGGTTAGTGCGTGTTGGACATGTAGGAAGGGAATCCAATAGCTACATGGGTGGATCTGAGACTGGGGCAAAAGATCTGGGCTAGAGATGGCTAACTGGAGTGATCCACACATAGCTAGCACCTCCAGTCACACAAACCAAGACGAGAGGAGGAAGGGGGAGACCAAATGCCTCACAGAGACGGGATGTTTCATATCATCGGTTGAGTGTGAGATGCTGGTAGTACTTCCCAAGAGTGACAGGAGACATCTCAATCCAAGAATGGAGTCCAAGAACCCAGGGTTGTTGTCTCCGGCTCCAAGCAACACCACGGACAACAGAGCAAGCACTGCCCCGCCCCCTGACATCGTCACCGCTGCTGCGCACGAGCTCAGTGCTGCAGCCACTGCGTCAGTCCATCTCCGAGAGCCGGCCTCTTGGTTGCCGACCAAGCATGATGTCCTTTTCCAGGGGCTACCTGCTTTTGAAAGCATGACCAAGTACGAGGGACGAAAAGCCACCAGTGAAGCACATGTGACAGCTCTGCCTGAAGTGGCAGAGGGACCAGAGGCATCAGTGACGGCAGCCTGAGATCATGAGGCAGAACAGGGGAGTGGCACCAGGACCGTGAGGTAGAGCCACAGGCTTTCCCGTCCACGGAACAAGGCGGAGGCCGAGGGAGCGAGCGGGTGAGACAGAGAGACAAGGCTTAGAAGAGGTGTGGACAAAAGAAAATTTTATCCTGAACATTCTGTTACCTGGCAGCTTCTCTAATAAGCCGCATAATTGTGACTATTGTCTGTGAGTTGTGTGTGGCCACTGCACTGCATTATCAAACCCAGCAGCGAAGCAGCATAGCATAGGAGAAGGGGTGGCCCGAGCAGGATAAAGCAGGATGGAGAGTTGAGGTATGTCTGACCTCTGTCCGGTGGCAACTGGCCCTGAGTTAGTGTGGACTTGGATTCTCCTTCTGCCGACTGAGCCAGAGAGTCCTTCTCCACCAGGACTTCTGCCCCTGCCTCTCATCAAACAAGGGGAACGATTAGGCATTTATTTAAAAATCCTAACTCAGCTCCTTCTGAATCCCTTTCTGTTTCTTAATCTTAATAAAAAAAAAAAAGAAGAAGAAGAAGCTTTTTAACAGCATCCATTTTTCTCCAGTTAAAATGTAAAACAGTGAAATTCATGAGACCCTCAGTTCTCTACGCAGGGTCTAAACGGCTGGTATCATTGATTGAGAAAGTGTCTTGACCTTGATGGAGAGGGTGCTAAAATAAAGTTGATGTTTTTCACTTTTATCTTTTAATTCCATTTCCTACAAACTTTGTGAAGTGCTCGCATATCGTCCGTCACCTCATAAGCACGCGAAAGCTGGACAATAACTAATAAACCAGAGAAGAATCGACACACGTCCGGAGATGGCAGTGGTGGAGGAGCCCGCTGGAAGGGGCCGATCTGTCGTCAAAGAGGTACAGCCAGAAGGCTCCTCGAAGAGCAGCCGGAGAGACTTCACCTCACATACTTTGGATGTGCCATCTGGACGGACAGTCCTCAGGAACATGGATTGACACGGGCTGCCACAATGGCCTCGTGCATAACAATGATGCGGGACAGAAATGACGGTGGAACGGAAGAGCAGGACCAGCCAGGATTTTGTGCCGTTGCCCTAAAGGTGACTGTAAAGACCACTCCCACCCGACTACTATCCTGGGTGCGGGGAATACAACGGTAAACACATAGCACATTGATTTCTTTGTCAGAATCGGGGCATCCGTGGTCCCAAAGGAGAATGCCTCCTATTCAAAGTATTTAACTCCTTGTCAACATATCCAAAACAAATCACTTTAATTTCAGTTATGAATGTGACCCGTGTAAGGGGCCTGTTACAAATTAGAAACCTCTGGCAAGACAAGAGAAACCAACAGTTCTCCTTGAAGAGAAAGCTAATCTTGATGCCGCATTTATGAAATCAATTACGCTTGCTAACTCACGCTAAATTAGCTGCAGAACAAAGGCTTTAATTCTGCATACTCCTGATGCCTTAACACTTTAAGGCTTTGAAGATGAATTCATAAAGACAGGCTTAATTTGTCTGACTAAAAAGCTGGGAATAACTATTCAGTATATCAATATAATTACAGCAACATTAATTTTTAAATTACATACATCAGTGACAGTAATTAAAAATAACACACACCTAACACTCACTTTTTTTTAGGAAACTATTCTGAAAGGCCTGGCTGGGATGTGAACAGAAGCCTGCCTGTGCAGAAGGACAGGGTCCTGTGACGGCTGGGCATGGGGTCCCGCCACGGCTCTGCCTTAAAACGGGGCTGGACAAGGTCTCAGCGAGCTCCTTCAGGCCCGAAGGAATCGTGCGAGAAAATATCCTGCAGAATAAAGGGTGTGC